ATGCACGGCTTCGACGAGCGGCAGGAAGATCGCGACCATGGTGGTCGACCCTTGCGCGCAGAACAGCTGGACCAGGAACGCGTACCAGAGACACATGAAGTCACGCGCTGGACAAAGAGTGGGAAAGAGGCTCAGGAATCAAGGCAGCTCGCCATGTTGCGAGACCCCGCACAACGCATCGGCTTGAGGCCGTACGGCAGTGCAGGATGGGTAGCAAGCAGCAGGGAGGATAGCCCCACCACCTACAACATGGTAAGACTATTAGGGCAGGACACGGCCAACGGAAGTACGTGCATGAGAGTGGAGCCCGTGGACGCGCCAGGCACCGACACGAGCCACATGCACGTCGCCGATACCTACGACGATGGAATCACGCTTCACGCCTACTGCGACACGGGAGCAAACAAATCGTCGTCGTCCGCATCCAGTCGCAAAGATGGATGGCCCAGTGAATGAACTAGACAACATCCTACAGTTGACCAAGCACCAGTTGATCTTGCCGCTGCTTTGTTTTTCAAACCCGACAGTTCGGCGAGGCAATTCGCAATTCTCCATGCCAGTGCCAAGCTCCACCGTGTGCGCCATCGTGACAAGATGGGCCAACAATCAAGGCATAACGATACCTCACGGCACGACCTTCAACGACGCAGACTCCTTTGAAGTTTTCAGTCTCTACGAGGCAATCAGTGGATGGCCACTTCCTGCGTCTTTATTGTTAGACTTCAAAACTTTCATCACACGACATGCCCCACCAGTCTTCACCATGCGTGAACGAATGCACATCACGCTCGGTCCGATTATGCAAACAGCGGGAATAACTACTGGAAATGGGACGACAGTGTGCGCAAGCCGATCGCGGACGCCAAGACAAGTCGAGTTGTGGACGTTGGACGATTTGCCGGAAATTCCCACAAATCGCTTTGCTGGAATGCCAAAGCGATCACTGAGTGAAGTCAATGCCTACAGCGAGCGAGAGTCGACAGAATGCACATGCGAAGGACAAGTATGCGGTCATTTCTTCAGACTGTTGCTGTATGTCACCGACAGCATCGGCGGTCAAGAGTACGACGCTACGAGCTCCAAAGCCCGGATCATGGGCCTACCGGATTTGGTAGTGTGGCGGTCGCCGACAATGACGCTGGCTCTTGTCATCGAATGCAAGACCCCATGGGCGTTCGATGTTGGTGTCGAGGCGCAACTCGACGACATCTTCAACTCGCACAGAGAACACCATGCGACGTGGTCGGCACCACCACCCGACAAGCCGAAAGAATGTCTACCCCATCTGACCATGCCACGCAAAGTATTTCACGCCATACGACAATTGTACGGGTACATGTCGTTCAACAAACGGCGCTTCGGCATTCTCACTACATTCTCGACAACGTA